TCTAGTTGTGGAGAATGTCGCTTCACTGGCCCATGTTGGTAGTATCACTGCACTCTTCCTGGGTGAGGCAGTCGCTCGCTGGCCATTGGACCGCGGCTCACAGCCGCTCATGAAAGCTCACGCCCGCTGCCGATCAGCCCCACTGCAACCTACGCAGTCGCCGGCGACTCATAGCAGCCCAGATCCAGGTCGAGCTGTTGTTCACTGTCTTAGCTGTAGAGGGCGCAGCGTCACTGGCCCTCATGTGGGATCCAAACCCGGGCCCTGCTGCTCAGAGCTGGCGTCCCAAGCCAACTCCTAACCAACGTGCCACTCAGCCAGCCCTGTTATCAGTATTTTTTTAAAATAGAGAATTCCCTCAATGACATACATAACATGGTTACTCTATCATACTAAAGCCACTATTTAATATTTTCTCTTGAATAGAATCAGCATCATTGGTCTACTAATTAATGTTATGATGAAATGGTGATATTCCCTCCCAGAACCTGATTTATCATCTTTATAAAGATAAAAATCTACAAAACATTATCACATTGTGAGTCTGTTATGAAAATATTTCCTAAACAACCCCAATAAAGTGATTAGTCTGAAGAATAACCCAACATACAGGCATTAAAATATAAATATGGAGTTCTAAAAAGAAAAAGACAGTAAGACTATCTTCCCAAGGTTAAGACAGTACTTGTCTTTACCTTTCTAGTAAGTAATATAACTCTCTCAAGGGGACATTCAGGCAGGGTTTTAGTATCCCCATCTCTGCTCTATAAGAGGAAAGGGCCAGAAGGTGAGGCCACTAGGTTAGTCCACAATGTGGACACAGCATAACAGTTATCAAAAGTTAAACAAATTCTAGGTATGTTTTGCACTCATAAATAAAGACTAGGGGAAAAAATCTGGAGAGGGCAAATATAAAGAAACAGTAAGAACAGAGGGAGTCTAGGAAATACTAATGGAAACGGGCTCTCAGATTAGAGACCTAAATCGGACCAGCACCTAGGTCATGGAAAAGGTTTATGTATAGTGTCATTTATTTAGACTCTTGGTAGGGGGAGACGAGGCATACACACTGTAGGCCAAGTTAACTGCTTTGATCAGAAACTGGACCTATGGACCCAGATCAAAAACAATCTTACTCCTTTAGAGATGAAAACATGCTAAATAGAAACAGCATGGCCTTTGTCTGCAGAGCTTTGTATAAATTGTGCCTCCCCAACTTAATTGTAAGGTATCTGAGGCAGAAATTAACAATGCTGATGATAATTGAATAGGATTAAGATGAAACAGGTTACACTGGCAAGAAATAGTAGGGCCCAGAAAAAGACTGTACATTTGAAAGGAGGAACACTGGGAGGCCTTGCAAAAAAACTATTTAGAGTTCTGACTCTGTATCAAGCTTCCCAACTTCACAGGAAACCATATTTGTAATTACTTCAACTGGTGTTCGCTCATATGCCCAAATTCCCACATAATGCTATGAAACTAATAGAATACTAGGGAGAACAAGAAAAAAAAGCACCCAATTTAAGATTGAGGAATCAAAGAAAAAAGAAAAAAAATTTTTTTTAATTAAAAAATAAAAAAAAGATTGAGGAGTCAGGGCCGGCCTAGTGGCTCAGTTGGTTAAGAGCGTGAGTCTGAGCAACAGGGTCGCTGGTTCGATTCCTACATGGGCCAGTGAGCTGCACCCAAGCTGAGCTGCCGCTGAGCTACCAACAGGTGGCAGGATGGCTCAGCTGGTGAGAGCACGTGCTCCTAACAACAAGGTTGCCTGTTTGACTCCCGCATGGGATGGTGGGCTGTGCCCCCCGCAACTAAGATTGAACACAGCACCTTGAGCTGAGCGGCCGCAAGCTGCCGACGGGTGGCCAGATGGCGACTGGACTTGGAGCAGAGCTAGCTGCACCTTGGAGCTGAGCTAGCAACTAAGATTGAAGGACAACAACTTGGCTATTCTGCTCCTCCAATTTCCCAATAAAATCTTAAAAAAAACAAAACTAAAAAGTGTGAGGAATCAGAAAATGCTTCTCAGGAGAAGCAGCCCTAAACTAAGATCTTAAAGATTAATAAATGGAGCTGGTAAGTGCAGGAGGACAAAGTTCCCAGGCAGAAGGAACTACTTTTGCAAAGACCTAGTAGAAAGAAAGAAAGCACAGCATGTTCTAAAAATAGAGTATTTCTGTATGAGCAGAACATACAGTGTAAGAGAAGGCGAAGAAATGAAGGAGATGAGAGAAACAAACAGGAGTTGTTTCCTAAAGAGCTTTAAAGATATGTAGCTGGTTTGAATTTTACCACAAAAACAGTGATGGGTTTTACACAGAGGAGTAATTTAATCAAATTTAACATTTTAGAAAGGTCATTCTAACCTAAATATGTTAAAAAGATCCGAAGGGATAAAGCTGGAGATAGAAAAACCAGTTAAGATGCCACTCAGAATAAAGGCAACTGGTTTCAAGGTGGGAAAAAATTCCTGAAGGAAATATCATTTAATAGAGAAAACAGGGAAGAAGTAATATTCAAAGATATTAAGAACTTTCCAGAATTAATGAAAGACACTAATCTTCAGATTCAGGAAATCCAACTTAACCCAAGTAGAATCAAGAAAAAAATAAAAAGCCTAAATTCACACCTAAATATATCCCAGAGAAATTACAATGCATGAAAAAAAAGAGAGAATATCAAAAGGAACCAGAGAGAAAAAAAACAAAGGAACAGCAGACTGATAGATGATTTCTCAACAGCAACAATGGGAGCCAGAAGTCAGTGGAATATTATCTTTAAAAGAGCTGAGCGATTCCTAAACATATAAAGCAAAATGAAACATATCCTCTGAACTATGGAATAGTGAGCACTTACAGTACCCAAACAGTAGTCTCTAAATACCAATAATTAACTAAATAAGCAGAAAAAAAATCAGTACGAAATGCAGAAAATCTGAACACTACAATTAATAAAGTGTACGTGTGTATGCACACATTTCAGGCTGAAGTAACAAAGCTATAAAGGTATGGCAATGGCAAAGTTACAGGATTGCTTCATGGAAGTCAGAGAGTATGTAGTTGGTTATACTATTAAAAATACAGGTTAGGACAGTATTGGAGAGTATACTAAATGTAGAGGTAGGGGTCATGCAATAATCGAATGTTGAGGTAATAAGGAACCTACAATGGAGGAGAAATGGAAAACAAGAAATTGAATATAAACAAGATTTACATTACTAAAGTGGAAAGATAAATTATCAAATGATGAGAAACAGTATATACAGAATAATTTCTCTTTATTAAAAAAGTGTCTTGGGCCTGCCGAATGGCTCAGCTGGTTAACAGCTCGCTTGGGAGCACCAGCTCTGAGCAGCAGGGCTACGGTTTGGATTCCACACTGAGGGCCAGTGACGCTCGCCCTTTACAGCTAAGATGATGAACAACAGCTCGACCTGGAGCTGGGCTGCTGTGAGCCGCCGTGAACAGCCGTCCAATGGTCGGCAAGCGACTGCCTCACCTGGGAAGAGCGCAATGGTAATACCAACATGGGCCAGTGAAGTGATGTCCTCCACAACTAGACTGAAGAACAAAAGGACAGCAACTTGTCTGTTCCCTATCCCCAATTCCCCAATGCTGTTCCCCTGCCCCAATTCCCCAATAAAGTATTAAAAAAAAGAAATATTAACACATACTTTTTATAATTTACATAACAGAGATTATAAGAAAATTATATACACATTACTGTGCATCTTACTACTTATTCATCAGGACAATTTTTAGATATATTTACTTACAGTTGCAAAAACACATTTTTTGTTATCTGCATGAAACAGTTTTGATTGGAGTTAAGATTCTTTTGTTTGAAAACACTAGAGGGTTCAGTCTAGAACAGCTGAGCTGACAAAGATGATAAAATCAGGCACAATAATAACCTGATTACTGCAGGATAACAGTTTTTTCTTTTCTGTTGTTTGTTTGCCTATTTGTTTTGTTTTTACAATGCATCTTTCTAAACTCTTATTAAGTTTGTTTAAATCTCTTATCGAGAGTGTTTAAATCATCAGTAGTCAAACAAAAATAAGCCTATGTAACCTAAGACATTGCATGCTCACCAGGCCATGCCAAGTCAGTGCCCCTGAGGAAATCCCCAGGAGGATACAGGGGGTGTCTCACCAATTCAGCAGAGGGCTGAGTCAGATTCTGCACCACTGCCTCAAATAGTACTCACACTAATTAGATAAACTGACCTATGAAGTCACTGTATCCACCCCCATCTCAGGAAATCTTGGTCCCAAAGAAATAATAACCAGTGTTTTGTCCAGTCCAACTTTTACTATATACAGGATGCACCTTCCACCAAAGCCCAAGAATATCTCATCAAAGGTCTTAATGTATAAGGACATTTTAGTAACTCCAATTTTCCAAAGATTTTACTAAGTTGCTCTTACGTATAATATTTTTCCCTACCTAAAAAAAGTTGTTTTCCTCATTGCAACACCATCCTTCAGACAGTTAGTTAGTTATAGTTAGTTCACAGTTAGTTAGTTACTACTTAGTCTGTGTCTAGAACACAATCTATGTTAAAGGAATTACAATATGTAAAATAAGACATATCAAGATTCTTTAACTACTATTATCATTACCCATGCTCATGCCCTTCCACCTGAATATGTGTTTAAATATATGTTGCATTTTTATTTTTGTTTTTTAAAGAACAGAGATGTTCACTGAAAGGCAATGGAGAAAATACATTCAGGTTAACAGTATGCTATCTTCTTCAAAATCCCCTACAGTTTCAACATACTTGTGTGTGTGTGTGTGTGTGTGTGTGTGTGTGTGTCTTATACACCGCCATGAATATGACTGTTTCATAGCTCTAACCCGTTTAGAAAAAAATGAAAGCTATGTGACATGACCTTGGCAGGCATACATTTTAATTTAATATTAAATACGGTGATGTAATTACTTTTTCCCTAAAAGTTGACTACTTACTGTCAATATTCACTTAAAACTTACTTCCAATTCTTTAATTTTTTCTTCTGCTATTTTCTGTTTCTCTAACAGCTGATTGTGAATTACCTCCTTGGACTGAAGAATAAACCTACAAAACATAAGAAAATTGAAGATTATGCCACATGGCCACTATATTCTTCCAAATTAACAGCTATATACCACCAATATTAAATTAAGAAAGCTAAAAGAATACTCTTCCAATTCAGAAATAATACGATGCATTATTATGTTAATGTGACAAACTCAGGAAATCACAGATTTAAGCCTTATTGGCTGAGAAGGAATAAAAATTTAAAAGTAAATTCTGCCTTCTTGTCTAAGAAGGGAATCAGGCTTCAAGTAAATTCAAAGATAAAGAATAAAAATAAAGGAATAAAAATTTATTACAGGCTAAGAGAAAAATTAACAAACAATAAAAATGCTCCATAATTTTTATTTTTCCAGTTATCTATATCAACTTTTAGCTAGATATTTTTTAAACAATATTTGTGCATTAGAGCTCCCCCTCCAATCTTCTTTTATTCTTATTTTTTGTAACAGCAGTAACTCATGACCTTTTAAAGTCACAATCAAGTACTGTGTTAGGATCAATGCATTAGTGTTTACATGAGTTCCTAACACAAAAAGCGCTGTATAAAGCCTAATATCTTTTATTATTATTTCCAGAGTGTATAATACCTCTGAAAAGCTCAAAATGCACAAGTGGAAAATTCCAACTTTTTCCGTTTTACAGTTAGACATATTATTTACAACTGATGAGGGTGGAAATATGGGGAAGCTTTACAAATTAACACTGAATCTGTTTTGTGACTTTATGTTCATAATTCTTGCTGTGGGGAAAGGGAGAACAAACTATTTTATAGCCTCAAGTAAGTGAACTGAAATATTTTCCTTCCACTGGAACCAAGGGAAAACCTCAATTACTCAAATCCCTTTCCGGATTGTCCAACTAGGCTTGAACAGATTTCAATTAAAGATTACAATTAATTAAGTGAACTGTTTCTTCTCTTTGTACATAACTTAAAGATTTTCTAACCAAGAACTAAACACCATCCCTTAACAAAAAGCCAAACAAGAAAACATATCAAGGTAGCAATATGCAGCTCTCTCTATCAACCTCACAAAAACAACACTGTGTCAAGTGGGTCTTTAGCAAGAGGGTCTGTTATTATACATCCATGACAAGTAAAAACAGACCAAAAAGGGCAACTCTAGCTTTGCCCAGACACCTGGGAGAAAACTGCTATCTCCCCATCTTCTTCATGAATACACCTTGGCACACATATTAATAACGTACGGTGAACTTCTCTTTCACTCCACTAATTAATTAAGCCTGTGTCCTGATGTGGCCAGTTCAGACAATTTAACTGATGATCCTCGTCTTCAGTAGTAACTTGATCCACTGTAAAAATCTTACTCATATATTTACTGCAAAGGCAGCCTACAATTCATGCAAAACAAGGATAACTATATAACCTTTTGTGTCTAAATGTTCTTATTATTAGTCCAAGAGACAGGTGCTATTTCTGATAAGATTCTGGTTTACAGACTATTTTTCTCAGAGCTAATTAGACTTACAATGGTTTGACTTACTATTTTTTAACTTTACAATGGCATGAAAGCAATATGTATAACAAACTACATGAGATATTCAACACTTTATTATAAAATAGGCTTTGTTAGATGATTTTGCCCAACTGTAGGCTAATGTAAGTGCTTTGAGCATGTTTCAAGTTACAACGTTTGGTAGATTAGGTGTATTAAATGCATTTTCAACTTAATGATATTTTCAACTTACAATGGGCTTATTCGGACATAACCTCATCTTAAGTTGAGGAGAATCTGTATTTAGTACAGTATGTGAGGAGAAAGGTTGTTTTGAATTATACTAAGTCTCAGTGTCACCTTGTAAAAAGTATTATAAATCTAGGCCCAAGAATCACACATTATGTCACTACCTGCACGATTTTTCTAAGAAAGTCTTTTAGCCGTGGAAACCATTTTCAAAGTAAAATATACATTTTTAAATAGCACTGATTGCTGACCAGTGAGTAGTATTCTCAAATAATAGGTCATCAGACATTATCTTTATTAGTCTGAGAAATTTTCAAAGCTAAGATTAGAAGTCAAGTGGCCTCTACTTGTGTGGCCTTTAAAAATAAAGTATCTGAACAGATACTAAATCCCTTGAGCAGAAAATAAAATTACTAGAAAGCAAGAACACTCAACAACAAAAACATGTTTTTCCATGGCCACACACCCCTGAGGTAGCTATATTAGACTGTGCCAACTTCAAAGGCCAGAGAAGTCACCAAAGCTGGCCAGCCTACTACACGCCGAAGGACATCCAAGCCACGAAAGTTTTAAACAAGGATGAGTATCGAGTAAACGCCAATGTCTACCTCAAAAAGTAGTTAACACAGTCAAAACTCAAACAAAAAAGTCACGGGAAATTTGGTTTGGTCATCAATTTTAAAAATGCCGAAGATACATGGTATGGAGATTGGAAAAGGCTTTGAGAAACATTTGGTTTTCTGGAAAAAGTCTGTAGAAAACACCTTATCTGTTATTAAAAAGGCACTGAATTATCAGAAGCTATTTTGATGGTAAAGGATATAATTATAAATCATATAAATAAACATTATGTACACAGCTTCTCAAAAGCAGAGAATCTCACAGAGATCCTGCCTGATCATTTATGGAAAGCCAAATGGTAAAGGATTCTGCAGTTCAGAATGTGCCACAAAGGAAAAATAAACCATGAAATTATTTTTATATGACAAATGATATACACAGAATGTGCTTACGATACTCAGGATGACATGATCTAGACTAGAGTCACTGCTTTCTAAAAGGCCTCTGCATTGAAAATCAATGCCATGTGGTCCCGCACTGTCAACTCCCAAGGGCTTGTAGCCTGTTGTTTCATTTCCTCATTTATTTACAACTATGCCCTCTGAAAAACACAATTTTATGATGGCCTTTGGTTTTGTTGATTTGGGAACAATCAGAGGCTGTGTTCAGAATTGGTATATGACTACTATTTTTTTCATGTGCCCAAAACACAATCCAGGGTCAGTGGCAATGATGTTTTTTGAGTTCCCTTTCAAAGTATGGTCACCTGGAAACACACTATTCAGAGACAATAACATGCTCATGATAATGTATTTTGTTTGGGTGGAAAACTTTTAGAGGATGTCTGCAAACATATTTTAATGGCATTTAGGGTATCCACAAATTCAAAGGCACAGAAAAGGCTGAATAAAAATGAGCCTATCTTGCTTCTTTGCCTCATTCTACTGGTGATGAAAACCACTTGCATGTATGCACAAAGATAAACATGCAAAAAAAATTACTTCATAATTTTAGCAGAAAGGATGGGATGAAGGGGGAAGAGAGAAAAAAAAAAACCTGGGGCCGGCCGAGTGGCTCAGTTGGTTAAGAGCGCAAGCTCTGAGTAACAGGGTCACCGGATCGATTCCCATATGGGCCAGTGAGCTGCACGCAAGCTGAGCTGCCACTGAGCTGCCAACAGGTGGCAGGATGGCTCAGCTGGTGAGAGTGCACGCTCTAACAACAAGGTTGCCAGTTCCACTCCCACATGGGATGGTGGGCTTCACCCACCCGTAACTAATATTAAACAGGGCACCTTGAGCTGAGCAGCTGCGAGTTGCCAACGGGCAGCCGAATGGCGACTGGACTTGGAGCTGAGCTAGCTGTGCCCTCCACAACTAAGACTGAAGGACAACAACTTGGCTGTTCCCCTTCCCCAATTCACCAACACTGTTCCCCTTCCCCAATTCCCCAAAATCTTAGGAAAAAAAACCAAACCTAAATCCATTAGTAAACAAGCAATTAAAAAATTGTACATCCATAGTGTGGCATGCTGAATAAATAGAGACTTCTGTGATTGGTATAATGCAGAGTAGATACCCTGAACATTTCGTGATTAAAAACAAAGTGAAGAAAAAATTCTTTTTTCAACATTCTCTTGAGTAACCAGATGAAAGATTTCACAAACACACAAAATGTAGTGAAATCAGAATTCTGGAAGGTAAGAAAGCAAAAAACTCAAGATTTTCTGAATTCTAGAGACCTTGATCATCCACACTGGCACAGAAATAGGATATAAAACAGGAGGTAAAACCTGGGCCATCCAAAATAAGGATGCTGTTAGGAGAATCCTTGATGAAAGCCCGGTTCCCAAAGGGTTCCACATTCAATCAAGCGTGAAGAATAAATAAACTTGCTTCTCAACAGAGTAAATTAGAAGAAACTTGTCTATGTATATAGCTTGGTAGTGAGTAAAATGAAAATACAAAAATGTCCCCTAAGAATGTGTAACCATAAGCTGGCCTTCTCAGGGGTTGTGGTCCAAATTCAATCTAATATATGGGCCACAAAATCTCAGGCACAGAATTTACAATGTTCCTAATTAGGTGAGTGGTAAAGGTCAAGTAAACTTGAAGATGGTTTAATAAAAATTAAACTAAAACACAAAGAGGAAAAAGATGTAAAAACAATATAAACAAAACAAAAGAGGATACAGCATGCGAGACCTGAGATAATATTGAGCAGTCTAATATATGTGTAATTAAAGATCCAGAAGAGAGAATGGAACAGGAGAAACATTCGAAAAGATATTAGACAAGAATTTTCTATAACAAATTTTTAAAAACCAAGCCACAGTTCCAAGGCATTCAGATAAACCCAAGCAAAATAAATACAAAGCCCTAGATGTAGCATAATTAAACTACTGAAAACCAAAAATAAAGAGAAAATCTTGAAGGCAGCGCAGAAATGAATATTTAGAGAAACAAAGGTAAGAGTTATAGCAACTTCTTGTTACAAACTATGCAAGACAGAAGACAATGGAACAGCATTATCAAAATACTGAAAGAAAAAAGCTGTTGGGCCCGCCTGATGGCTCAGCTGGTGCGAGCGCATGCTCTTAACAACAAGGTTGCCAGTTTGACTCTTGCATGGGATGGTGGGCTCCCACCCCCCACAACTAGACTGAAAGCGGCAACTGGACTTGGAGCTGATGGGTCCTGGAAAAACACAATGTTTCCTTTCCCAATTCCCCAA